CCGACGCGCTTCACGCCTGTGGTGGCCATGAGGAAGCGGTCGTATACACCCTCAAGACGGCGAAGACTGGGGGAATCGGGAACAGCAGCTGGCGCGTTCGGCTTCCTCGCAGGGTATGGCTCGACGTGGAATGGGGAGGATGTGAGCTCATCGAAAGAGCGCTCGACCGGCTGCGAGCGCTCCTCTTCGTCGACTGGCGAACGAATAGGGGATGCGATGAAGAGACTTCGGTCCAAGACCTCAGAAAGACGAGGCGACGGCAGCGGCGCAATCGCTAGACACGGTGGTCAATTATTTGTAAAGAAGAAATTTGGAGGCCATTCTTACGTTTGGAAATCTCTAATTCAAGCTGGGCAACGGGGGTAATACGACGGTCGAGAAGGTCCGCATGAGACCTGCTCTTTTCCTTCCGTTTCGATGGGGATCCAGTCTCCATATCAATGTCGAAGGAGGCGTCCGCAGGCTCCGGGGATCGGGCGCTGACCGTCGCACGGCGCTGGCGCGTTGGGGTGTGAAGCCCGGCCAGAATCTGACTGGCTCCCTCGCTGAAGTCCGTGTTCGCAACGGTAGAAGTCGCGACGGCATTCATCGAGGACATGTTGTAGCTCGAGTCCGCTGGGTCGGCGAAGATCTGGCTGGCAGCGAGCACCTTGCGAGGAAGCCGGGAAGAGCGATAAGTATGTGTCTGAGAAGTCGCTCGAGAAAGAGGAGCTAGCGGTAGCGGGGGAAGAGGCGTTATTTCTCTGGAAGAGGAGGCAAAGTTTTGGCGAGCATCCTCGACGACTTCTGCAAGGTTCGGAAAAAAAATATTAGACAAGTGGTATGCCGGCCAAGTGATGAACGCACGCTCAACATTGCGCATCCAGATGGCCATGCGGTCCATCCGGCTGTCTGCTGCCACTTGCTCGTTATGCACTGCATGTCGAACGACGGGCAGAGAGGATTTGACTAGAGCTAACGTGAGCGTATGGGTGAGCGAATTCGCCACAACGTACCATCACGTTCAAAAGCCTCATCCTCCCAAGATTCCCTTCGCAGGCTCGAGCTGCGGCGGGACGCGGTGTCATCTTGAGGATCGGTGGTAAGTGTCCGAGAAGAGACATTGCGGCTGGCGGCCTGCGCCATTAATTGGAGTGTTTTGTCTGCGGTTCATTAGTCCCATGTTCAGGCACAGGCAATGCAGTCATACCAAACGAGAGTTTGACGCTGTGCTTGAAGCTGTGGATCGCAAAACTGCTCCCTGGAAGGGAGGACTTGTTACTCGGTGATGCCATTTGAGGGTGTACCTCTGCGAGCAAGGTCATCACCAACGGCACGAGATTAAAAGTTCTATTCTTACCAGGGGTGGGCGGAGGAGCCACCGGACGCGGGGGTGAAAGAACGCCAGTCATGTCAGCGCTCTGATTCTCCTTGTCGCGTGCTCGTTCCCTCGCAGCAAGTGCCCTTTGTTGCCGTGCAGCTTGCTCCCGCTCCACTTCAAATTGCGCATCCCGATCTCTCTCGAGCTCGTCTAGTCGCTCCATTTCTCGCAACCGCTCCTTCTCCCGTTCCCACTCGCGGACACGGTCTTTGACCGAATCCCGTTTGCCCCGCTCCTTGACATTGCGGTTGGCGGTAAGATCGGCCAGCGGCCTAACCTTACGAGCGTCTTTAGCGGTCTCGATGACCGGTTTGGGTTGGGGGAGGTTTTGGCGGGTACGAGCGTTGACTATTGCCAGAGGCTGGCGTTGGTTTGCAGCAGCTGTAAGGGAGGTCAATGACATGACATTCTGTTTGGCCGAATTGGTTGGGGGTGACGCCGGTGGGGAGCCTTTGATAGGCGAAAGATCGACCAGAGGGGGCGCTGGAACTCGTTTCCGTGCCTGCACTTGGACTGGAGACGCTTCTGTGAGCTTCAAACGACATATAGTTCCACACGCAGGACTTACTCTTCGAGCTGGTGACCTTTGGCTGCGATTTAGACTTGGTGAGGCTGCGCTGGATGCTGTCACCCTCTTTCGAGAAACTCGAATCAAGGCCAGGAGGGGACCGGTTCTCTTTGGCGTTGTAAGACCAAGGGGACACTGGGTTCGCAAGCTTGGATGCGTCCTTCTCGAAAACGACCGACGATGTGTAGCTGGCGGATCGTCCTGTTCCGATGATTAGTTTGATGATTCTGTCCTGAGCGAAAATGCGTCTCACTATGCGAGCTCTCGGTTTCCCTGGTTGGACGCCAGTAAGAGTCGTTCATGGCGTCCGAAGCGGTGCAGCGCAAGTCGGCGTTGGGCGAAATCATCCTTCGGAGCAACTTTTCGATGGGTTTAGACATCTTCCAGGTGCCAACCCATTTCCCCCGGAGCTACACGAGGAAAGGTGAGCTTGTACCTCGAGAGACTGAAAGTCAGACCGACCGTGCGCGCCCAGTACTTTTCAAGGTCTTCCTTGGTGGAGAATTGCTCCGTGTCCGAATGCTCGAATGGTGTCCGACCAATCAAGATTTCGAAAAAGGTAACGCCGAGAGACCACACGTCGGACTTTCTTGTGTCATGAGGAAGACCACGCGCGCGCTCAGGAGATAGGTACTATGAAACATGTAAGAAACCCGGTAGAACGCGAATCAACGCGACTTGCCTCGGGTGTACCATAAGACAGGTTGCTGTGGAAAGCAGTGCCTGATTTCATGTCATATCGTTCTGCGAAGCCAAAGTCAACCAGGACGGGGATGTTCTTGCTGGAGAGCAAGATATTGGCTGGCCTGGAGGAACATTGAGGTGGGGTCGAGAATGAATGACACGACTCACTTGATGTCATTGTGAACAACACCGCGTTTGTGCAGAAACTCGACGCCCGATAAAAGAAAGTGGAACCATTCGCGGGCTTTGGGCTCGTCCACCTCGACTGGCACGAGTGTTGGGAGGAAAGCCCTGGTAAAAAATGAATATTAATAACGATCAACAACAAGCGACGTCGACGCGTGATAAAGAACCAATTCACGCGTCAAACGACTCGAGAGGCCGCTTCGAGGTCATTTCTACTGGTTTGAAGCACTCACATTGTAATTAACGCGTAGGAAGGGGTGATTATGAACGAATGAAACGGGATGATCGATGGGTGCGGATCCGCCTTGAATGACCGTACGATCTTCATTTCATTCCATCTGCGCGCGCAAAGAGGTCATGAATGCACAGTGGACCGGGAGATAGAGCAACATACAGCGATCTGACGCGTGCAGCGGTCGTGGAAGTCTTGGATCGGTGGACGAGTTTGACCGCGATCTTGGTTTCTTGGAGTTTGACGAGGCCATCGGCGTTGGGAGAGCTTGGGTCCTCCTTGGGACGACAGAGCCAGACGCTGCCCCAGTTCCCATAGCCAATCTCCTCGACGAACTGCAACTTGTCTGACAGGACTAGTGGGACAAGTATGGTGAGTTTGGGAAGCTGGTGGACGCGAGTGGAGGGCACCTTGGTCAGAGAGAGAGAACACGTCAGTAGAGCCCTCTTGAGGTTGAGGGGAGTCCATGGTGTGGTACAGGACACAACAGGACGAAGACAAGGGAGGAGGTGATGGGCGCGTTCCAACCTCTCACGTGAGTTACGGCAGATGTGTGAACCAATCAAGGGTCGTGGCTTCAATCACGTTCATCATCTTGGGCGCGCGGCTGGCGTGCGGAGCTGTAGATACGCGAGATGAATTCAGTTCAGCGCGTTTTGGCGGCCGTGTATTCTACTGGTATGTGCTACGTGAATTCAGCCCATTTTCATGGCTGACTGGGACAGAAGTTGGAGGAACTTTTGTTGATATTCTTTGGATTTTGTAAGTTCAACAAGTTCTCTAGCCGCCGGGCATCCCGACGCGATTAATGCGGAGTTTCCCAATGGGCGAGAAGGCGTGATTGTGGGTCTGGAATATCAGCTGGAAAATTCAAGTGTGCCTCTACGACAACACTTCTCGTGCTTCTGGTGTTCTCGCACACTCGTCTCTCGTGCCTTGCTTGGACTCTTTTAGCCAACATGTTTGGGAGCTTGGACGCCGCGGGATCATAGCATTGGCAATTATTCAACACGACTCTCGCGCTGTTTGCGGCGTTTCGACTTTCTTGAAACTTCGATCTAGTCCCATCGGGAACGTGCTCCTAGCCATAAAATATTTCATCGCTCGTGTCGGTCCTGCTCGGCCATTTCCAATCCTCGACTTGCTTGCATTATTTTCTCAGTCAGAACTCGGATAGAAAGAAGCGCGAATAACTTGATTCTGAGCTGCCGCAGACCCCTAAAACTAATGCGGAAAGAGTTTTTGAGGTTCGTGCAAACGACGACTCTGCTGACGAGACAGTGGTAGGTTACTGCTCGGTTCCGGATTGCCGGCCTCGTATCATAACATCATAAGGGCTTGAAATGCTACATGGCAGGAGTCGTACCTCGGGCCCGGGGCTACTATATACAGGGATAGGGCCAGGCAAGCCCAGGAGGACTAGTATAGGGCATCTAATTCTTGCCATCAATCTGGGCAATTGCAAGAGAGATCAAAATTGGCCCCCGACCTTTCGAACTCTTGGGATAGCTACGGGGCAGCTGTGTCTCTGAGTTTTCGCATGGACACTTTTATGACATATGAGTATCCTGTACATGTTTTATCGAGGCGATGTTACTTCCGGTGAAGGGTCCTAGGCCAAAAAAATACCCAAACTCTTGTTATCAAATGTTTCAGGTGTTATACATCCAATATCCAATGATATGGAAGCATACTACACCAGATATCTCTAGGCCACACCAGGCTACCACTAGAAATATCTGAAAACGGTCCAGTATTGGACGAGAAATGTTTGTTTGTTCGAGTTGTAGGTTTGTCTGGCGCGGCGGGAAAGATGGTACCTGGTGCCCTTGCGTGGGCCATCGGGGTGTATTCTGTGCATGGAAAGGACGTCTCAAGGCTACACTAAGCGCTCTTCTCCAGAAGTTCATCTCTCCGGGTACTGATGGAAAATTCTCGCCTCAAAATTGCAAGATGAGATCCACTTCAACGCCCGCCTAGCTCAATCGGATAGAGCGTCAGACTTTTATCTAGGGCGGAATCTGAAGGCTGCGAGTTCGACCCTCGCGGTGGGCTATGATTAACCTTTTTGCGAGTCCAGGTAGCTTCCTCGAAGATCCCTTTACGACCCCCCTGCCCTAGATCTCGGACACCCAAGGAAAATCACAGAATAGTATTTTATTCAAATGTCTTTGGGCCAGTCTGAGTGGATAGATCGTCGTGAATCTGTCTCTTACTCCAGGTTCAATTTTTACTTCATGAGAAACGGGTAAGAATTGCTCAAACGGCGTCGTTTTTTCAAAGGTTGCCACGTGTCCGAGTAGTAGGTAACACATCAAATTTGGATTGCCGGCCTCGTATCTGACCTTCTTGTGGTCGAGGCGCCCCCAAATCTCATAGAGTGGAGCTCCCCAATGAGGAGTATGATATCCATGATGCAAGAGCTGGGCCATGCCCCGGATGGTCAATAGGTAGCATAAACTTTCTTGCCATCATTTTTGGCAGTTGAGATATTAATTTGGCACGCATATCTCAAAAATCTCAGGAAACGGTCCAGACAAGAAATGTTTGTTTGTCTGTACGAAGTAGCTTTGTCGGGCGTGAGGGGGGGAGATACGGCTCTCATAGAGCGCAAAAAATTGTGATCGATTTCTTGTCCCATTCAAGCTCCCGGAGAAAGTGTATAAATGTTGTCTCCTCTGCTCGATGCCACTGCTGCGAGTACAGTGAGCCGACCAAGTCGTAAGTCGAATCTAAGATGCCTGAGATATGCAATTTTCTCAATCACCAAGGCGGTTATTTTTCTTGACGGATATCAGGAACATGAATTATTTTTTTCCTCGCGGGAACGGAATGAGGGGTTGAGGATTACGTAGACAATTACACCGAGCACAAAATTTCGTAAATAAAATTCCAAATAACCGAGTCATGAAATTTTTGGACGAGCTTTCACGAGACCTTCTTTTTTCGGCCGTGGGCGTTGAGTCGAGTCACGCGTCACGGTGATGTCACGACATCTGCGAGTTGCCTTTAACCATGGACGTCGTCCCAGAAAAGAAACCGAGGAAACGTAAGTTTTCACGTCCGTCAGATTGATGTCGGTGATGCCGACGTCGTGGTCGACGACGACAACGAGGAAGGTGGGGCGGCGGTAGCGCTCTGCCGCCCCCGCCAGTCAGACTCAGTCAGACAAAGGGCCTTGCATGGTGTTGCGTCCCTGGGACGCGTCGCGGTGCCCGGTGCGAGTTCGACCCTCACGGTGGGCTATGTAGTTGCCTCCCCCTAAGCAATGTCGGTACTATCTTCAAGGAAACTGGACGAACGGAATCTGGTGCCAATACCTGCGCGGCGATGCGAGTGCGGGGGTCCGATGTCCTCTCGGTGCTTAAAAGTCAGTGCCACGGCCATCGTCATTCTGCTGCGAGGACCGCTCTGCTCTCGAATGGCCGCTGGCGCGATTCGCACATCATCTAAATCCTCTTTCCACGCCGTCTTTAGTCTGTTCGGAGCTGCTCTTCCTTTTGCGTGCGGGCTTAAGTAATTTACTATTGTCATTTATGGATTCCGGTTATGGCCTGACGATTTGGAGATGCTGTGGCTGCAATTTAACCCCACCAACAGTCATTCTTGCTGTTGCACCTCGCACCGCTGCACACTCGATGAACCAACTGGCCGGCACAACCAACGGCCCAGGTTTCGCGCGGAGTACTGCTCTTGTGGCCTAAACGACTTCGAGGGCACTACTTAATTTGGTCTATAATACGAGCCCAATTCTCACGAATAAAAATATCCTGACACGCACTGCGTGCTTGATAATCTTGACGCATAGCCTTGCACCTCTGTATCCACCTCCTGGCTCACAACAATGCTACAACAAGAACTGTGCGACCTTCCTGCCGACTTCCCCGGGCACTCTCCAATGCATGATTTAGACTCGACCATTACTTCGATCTCAGCCAGAAGGCGGCGGAGCAGCAGTAGCAGTAGCAGCAGCAGCGGGAGCTGGTGTACGACCACAGTGATTGACATTCCCCCCCCCGGAAGTACTTCCGAGTGGGATGATCTGCAACGGGGCCATTGGGTTGAGCTTCATCATGTGCGTTTATGGGTATCGCTGATGTAGCTCCCCTCATGCCCCAGCAGAACTTTGCTACCTGTGTATTATACTTCCTCAAAACACACAACGGGTGGGTCAGCCATATCCGTCTGTGGAAACGCTGGAACTCAGTCCAGTTTCAGCGCCTTAAACGAACTTGCCCAGTTGACGAAACAATGGGCCGAATGGGACACTTTGACCAGTCTTGCCAATTATCATTCCGTGGTCAAAATATTATTCGGATATCTGAAGGTGAGGCCAGTTTAGTCGTTGATATTCTATCCCAAGTTATCGTAACAGGATTTACCTTTGATATTCGCTCCCGACGCATCCTCACGATATTCAAGTCGTGCGTTCGCGATTGAACTGTCGGATCGCCTATCTCAGGATATTTCGTCCGTTCTCAGGGAAATAGAAACTATATTGTCTGACTCTATGACCTACAAGCACTTTCTGACCCGTCGAGGGCCTGTTGCTCAACAACTTTTGGATCTGCTCCAGGATGTAAGTCCCCGTTGGTCCCGCATAGAATGCTGATCTGAATCTCGTCAGCTTCTCGATTCGTCCTATCAATTGAGTTCTAGACCTTTGATTTATAAGGCCCTCCGGAGACTTTCCAGTGAATGCGGACTTCATCCTAACTGTTTTACTCTGTCTGGGTTGGAGAAGATTGGTCAGCAAGTGGCCGGTGGGGCATTTGGTGACATTTGAAAGGGAGTGGTCGGCGGTCAACCTGTCGCCGTCAAGAGCATGAGGCAATTCAAGGAAGATGACGTCAAAGTTTCACTGAAGGTTTGTCTCATCCGATATCAGTGAATACGCACCAGATTTCATTGGTACTTGTTTTCTAGAAGGTCGGCCGCGAGGCCCTCATTTGGCGTCAGCTTTCACATCCAAACCTCCTTCCATTCCTCGGCCTGTATATGCTCGATAGTAGGCTATGTCTTATTTCACCGTGGATGGACAATGGAGACCTGAAGGAATTTTTGAGAAACTCCGCTACTGACATAGATCGTGTTTCTCTGGTAAATAGTCGTCTTCTTGATCAACATCCTAAAAGAATCGCTTTGACCTGATGCAACAGATTGTGGATGTAGCCATGGGCCTCGAGTATCTGCACAAAGAACGTGTCGTACATGGAGACCTCAAGGCGGTATGTGGTTTCAATTAGTATGCCGTACAAACTCTCCATATTTATACATTCTAATTCCAGGCCAATATTCTCGTTAGCCCGTCAGGCAGAGCCTGTATCACCGATTTCGGGCTGTCCTCCGTCGTGGACGAGTTATCACTGAATTTGACGTTTTCGAGTCACATTGGTCAGGCAGGCACGCTACGATATCAAGCGCCGGAATTATTATCGAATGAGTGTTCCAATCACTTTGGATCGGATGTTTATGCCTTCGCTTGCGTATGTTACGAGGTTCGTCAAAGTCCTGGCCGCATCTCGTTTCCGAAATTGAACAGCGAATTAGATTTTAACGGGGAAAGTGCCATTCTTCGAAGTACTCAACGAGGCAGCAATTGTTTTCAAGGTGACAGTCGAAGGCGCCCGGCCATCCAGACTTGAAGTGATCTCTTCAGTAGACATCTGGCAGCTACTGGAGGACTGCTGGCACAGGAAAGCCGACAGGCGACCCGTCATGACTGCTATAATACAGCGACTGACGACGCCACCGATTGGGGTAAAAATCGAGCAATCTCGACCGGATTGGGACGAAACATACAGTGCTAGATTCCGCCGTTCTGTTCAGGAGTGGCCACTACTCCCATCCATTCCAGAAATACAGCGGAGACTACCATGCAAATCGATCAAAGTGGGCGATGCACTTGAGCCTGACTTGTCAAGCCTTGGTACTCTTGACCTGAGAGCCGACAACTGGGACACTTCACAACATATTTTCTGGGGAATTGAGGAGGATGTGACTACCAGGCTGTCGCTTCAAGCTGGGCTGGAGAGCGTCCGAAAACGTGCGGGTGGGATCAGGAACAGAGCAAGGCCTGGATCCGACGCGTCTGCCTCGTCGCAGTCCCCGACGGTGACCACCAGCGGCTTTTCGTCGGCACACAGCTCGTCCATCTCGTCATTCGCGTCAATGGAGAGCGAGATGACCGAGATCGACGAGAGTGCAGAAGAAGGCGAGGAGGAGGAGGTGTACGAGGTGAAGCGCGCGCAGGCGCACAACGTGGAGATCCAGAAGGGCGAGCTGCTATCGTGGCCGCCGGGCGGGGTGCGGCTGATGGTGGCGGGTCCGATCACGACGACACTTGAAACAGCGAGCAGCAGCATGGCGGTAGACCTCAACGATTTTCCCGTAGTCTCCGTAGACGCGTTCAAGAACGCAGAGGACGAAATTGGAGAGCTTGTCAACCATCCATCACCCTTGAAGGAGCACGCTCCTCTCCCAGCGCCGATTCTTGACGGTGAAGATCTGTCTCCCAATTTCCCCTTTGAACTCGCTCCTTGCCCCAGCAGGGAAAACAGTGTTCATAGGGATGGTACGGACGAGGCATCAACCTGGATGTATATGCTTGTGGAGACGAATTAACAATGATGCGACGCTAAAATGCTTGGATTTTGCTTCAGGCTTTTTTCCCTCGGGTGTGCACCGATCATTCCAACGTATAATGAGATGACGTGATTTTTTTAGCAGTTCCCAAAAGGGAAATTCTCGCTTACATTTTTTGGGTCCCTTGGAGGAGTTGAGGAGTAAGCAGACAATTGAGCGTAAACCAAATTCCAAAATGACCCAGTCCTGGAATTTTTGAACGAGTTTTAACGGGACGGGCTCAGGCAGTCGAGACCTGAGTCGAGTCACGCGTCACGGCGACGTCACCTCATCCGCAAGTTGCCTTTCACCATGGACGTCGTCCCGGAAAAGAAACCGAGGAAACGTAAGTTTCACGTCCACTCAGCGCATCCTCTGACTTTCGATAGCTGTACGCGCAACTGCCGAGCAGCTCGAGACCCTGAAAGCTG